TGAAATGTCGGTTGCAACTAAACAATGTGAGTGGAACAGTTACCTATTAAGCAGGCATTGTTTCCACCACTCTGTTCCATCATCTTGTTGACTGGTGGTTTTCCCACGAATACAAAGAACATGCTCAGTTGGATCATCACACATTGAAAGGGCCTTCAAAGCCTACAGGATGTCATAATGGAAGCACAGCTACTTGACATCGGCCTTTCTGTGGGAGATATACCCTCTTGGGACCTACAAGAGCAGGGCTCATCTAGACAGGTCTGCAGCCAGTGCGCTGCTTCAAGGCACAAACGTCTCAATAGCCAGTGAGGCACTCTGCTAGCAGCTCAAAGTCTAGGTGGTGGTGGTGAAACCCAGGAGAGGCTGGCACTTAAAACTACATTAAGCAAGATCAAGGACGACAATTTGTTCTTTGATTATTCATTGTAGCTACAGTTTATTGAGACCCTACAATGCCAAACACAAGTGTAGGTGTAGTAGCAGGGCTGAGAGATGAATCATTGTAGAGCTGAGGAAACAAGGGTTCAGTAATGGTTACGTTGTTTGAGTCACAAAAATTCCAGTTACCGCCTAGTTTCAAAAGGCTAGCTAGTGGTCAGATGCTCAGATTTGTTCTCTTTGACACTGTTTTTGTCACTTGGAAGTAGAGACATTCCAGCCGGGGTTTCCAAGTAAGTCTTTAAGGTTAAATGAATGGAGCCCAATCAGACTGTTAGCTGCAGCCCCCCAAACTATAAAAGATATAAAGCCAGTTTAAATGACCAAAACCAGAAATGGTTTATTATAACAGAAAAAGTAGCTCCCACCAGGAAACGTATCGCTGAGGGTATTATTTAAGCATTGGCATACCATAACCATAACTTACTGGCCCCTAAGAGCACACACAGACTCTTGGGGGCCAATAAGTTGTATACATACATATATATACATACTTATATAAATACATACATACACACATATATACATATGTATGTGTGTGTATATATGTATAAGAAATGCAACAGAATTCTCTACACTAGCATAGGCTTAGAACTGTAACTCAAGGTCATCCAACCTGCTGAGTTTTGACATTTGTTCCAAGTCCTGTGCGATCAACATACAGCAAGTCTGTCTGTTGGATCAGCTGGGCAAGGAGAAAGGCCTCAGACACCCTTTACTGCGCAGTCAGTCCCCAGGCAACCAAGATGCTGGTGGGTGGCGACAGAACCCCCAAAATGACAGCATCAATGTTTTACAAACTAGAGTGTGTTCTGTTTCTGTTAGGTAGAGGGATTTCTTCATATGTTATTTTAATAAATGGGAATTTCATAGGTAAAAACCAGTACTCAAAATTGTAAAACAAATAGAACTCTCTGTGTATAATCATGGCATCAAAAACTTGCAGGAGACTTACTAGGAATTCTTTGGTCGACAGATGTGGCTTGAAAGGGTAGTAAAATTTTTTTATGGCTAAAGCAAGTGTCTTATTTCCTGCTGGCCCAAAAATAGATGTTTCATTTCCCAAGTAAATGGGTTCTCCGCTGTAGAGAAAGATTCTCGTGTAGTTGGTTTCTACCTTCTTGAACTCGGCTCCAAGTTCGGCCAGCTTCATGTATGTCCTTAAGACAAATTTGGAACAATCATAGGATTCAAACCATGTCTCTGCTCCTTTTTCTGGACTAGCTTGGACCGTCCATGTCTCATAATAAATGCCTGTCTCGTTGTCCAATTTTACCCACTTTGCCATTTTGTTAAACATGTTACCTAGAAAGAAAGTAAAACAAAAACTTAAATGAATAGCTAAGTGAATCATTAAACTCTTAAGTAAATTTTTTAACCTCAGATCCAGGAGTAAACAATCGCCAAATCTTCATCTCACAAAAGGAATGCAAACTCAGTTCGTTTTATTCCATTGTTCAAGCCATAAGTGATTTCTGAACTACAAACCCTAGCTGTAGTGGACGTAGAAGCCTCGCCCACTAATGCTGTTGTCATCATTTAAGCTGCCGGTCAAAGGTGAAATTGTGTGAATGCTGAAGTCCTCTTTCTCTGTACACAGTACAACTTGGATTGAAGAGGCAAAAATATAACAAAGCAAGGGCACAATCACAGAAGAGGAAAAGGCCAACGGGGCAAAGGTAATTGAAGACAAAGCAGCCAGGTGGGGATGACCGGCCTTTCTGCCAGGAGGAAAGGATGTTTATGCGTGGATGGCTGCCTGAGGGACAGCTACACTGTAGGCCAGCTGGCAGTCCACACACGAGGAAATGTCAGGTGCCAGCAAGTCAGGCAGACTCAGAAACCTAGGGACAACAGAAGGAAACATGGCCCGGTTCTGTGCCATCCTCACCACTGGTACCTTGAAAGCCCATGTTTACAGCCACTGTGTCCATCCACCGTCTTGAGGGCCTTCCTCTTTTTCGTACCAGGCATCATGCCATTTTCCAGGGACTGACTGGCCTCTCCTGATAACATGTCCAAAGTATGTGAGACGGAGTTTCGCATAATTTAGCAGGAGCTGAAAGCCTCGTCTTTCTCCCTTGGAGTGGCTGGCAGATTTGAACTGTTGACCTTGAGGTTAGCAGCCCAACTCATAACCTACCATGCCACCAGAGCGCTGCTTAACCCACCTGCCTTTATTATGTCCCTTTCTCTCTTGTCTTTGTAGCTGATGGAATTCTACATGAAACAACACTACCCCACGTATACTCTCCAGTGAATAAACTCAGGTGGAATTTTAAAAAACAACAAATAACTGGTCTGGACCAAGTTCAGATTCCTCGGTGTCTAATCCTTACCTCCTCCCACGGTGGACCCAGCCAGGGAAACGGGGCACTCTGCACGGTGACAACTTCCATCAGGGCGTTTATAATGTCTAACAGAGCCCGGCCCCAACGTTTCACACTGACTGGGAGTGGACTTGGGTTGTTTATAACTTGACCCCATAAAAACAAGCCTCCATCTCCTGGAAAATGAGAAAACTACTGCCTTTTATCAATGTGAGGGATTAAAATGGTTCAATTATTGACATCCTCTTTTCGTAGAATCAGGGATTCTGTTTCTCACGCTCTTCCGCATCAGCCGGTGTGGCGTTTAAGAGATATGAGAGCTTCAAAGCACTGTTTTGTACCATGAAGAAAGGCCAATGGACAGGACTAATCACAAGGAAGATGGATTACTTAAAAGATTAAAACATACACATACAAACCCCCAAACCCACTGCCATCAAGTCGATTCTAACTGCGTATAGGGTGGAGAAGAAATGCTCTCTAGGGGTTCTGAGGCTGTAAATCCTTACCGGAGAGCAGGCTGCCTCAACTTTCTCCCACCAAGCACCTGGTTGGTTCGGACTGCTGACCTTTTAGTTAGAAGCCCAACTCATAACCCACTACACCACCAAGGCTTCTTTAAATTGTTCTTCAAGGAACCTCAAATATGTATGTCCAGTGAGATGGCTAAAAGAACGGCTGGTGGGGCTTAATTGCCAGGGTTTGCCTCCCACTTACTTAGCTGGCAGGAGCCCTGGTGGCACAGAGGTTAAGCACTCAGCTACTACTTGAAAGGCCAGCCCGCCGGCTGCTCAGGGGAGAAAGATGGAGTAGGCTGCTTCTGTACAGATTCATAGACAGCCTTGGAAACCTGATGGGGCATTCTACTTTGTCACTGAGTTGGGAGTCGTGACGGCCATGCATTACTTAGCCGTGCCTCAGTTTCCCCATCTGTAGTAAGGAAGAGTAAAAGTAACTGTCAGTGGGTTGTGTGATGATAAATCAGGAGATATCAAAGATCAAGCCCAAACCACCACTACCATCAAGTCAGTTCACAGCGACTGACCGTACAGGCTAGCAGACAGTGCCCAAAGGGCTTACAGAAGCACACTGCCACATCTGTCTCCCGTGGAGCATCTGGGTGGGTTTCAACCACCAACCTTTCAGTTAGTAGCCAGGTGCCTACCTACTGCGTCACTAGGACTTCTTGTATGGATGGTGATAAGGCCCAAACCAAACCCACTGCTGCCACGCCCGGTCCAACTCAGAACCACCCAACAGAGCAGTTCCCAGGCTGTAATGTTTACAGATGCCCACAGCTGCCTCTTAGCTATTACTGTTTCTCTAGAAAAATGTTCTATCATTTCCAAAAAAAGTCTAGACTTCATTAACTGGCTCTTTACTGATTATTTTTTCAAGGGTTTTGTGAATTTTGCCCCATTATTTTACTCAGAAAGTTCAAGTTAATTGTACCAAGTATTCCATCATGCCATTCTTTTTTGCCACTGTGGTTTAACTGGAAAGAAACTTGTGTGCCTTAAGCCGTGGGCAAAATGTGGCCTGAGTACCTGATTGGGCCAAAAGTTTGCCGCTGGAGAACATCTTTCCGTTACAAATGATTTCTAGAATGTGAGGCCTGGCTGCGATGCCTTGGTGGAAGCTGTTTCTGGGATCTGGACGTTGAGGCCAGCATCAAACACTGCCGGGTTGGGGTACGTACCCGATATGGTGGCCACCAGAACCATCGTCCCATTTTCCTTCCAGTGCGCATCATCAATGCCTTCAAAAAAGCAGGCGGCCCCTTGATTACACCAGAAAGGGGCGTTCATTTCGGGTCGGAGATGCGGAAACGTGCAGTTCCCGAGTTGGAAGAGCTCGTACCATTCCATTGTGTAGTTCCTGCCCGTCCCAGTACTCCGGAATCCAATCGCATCGTGCATGATTTTCTGTGGAAAGAAAAGAGACATCCAGGCTTGCGATGAGGACAAAATGCGGAACCCCTGCAGGGCCTCACCCCTGGATGCACTGCCCTGTGGTTCTTCTAAGGAGCCACAAGCTGGGGCCCCTCACCTCATCCTTCAGGGACTGCAGCTCCCCGAAAGGATGCGCGCTTTGTGCACCCACTCATCATTTCCTTGCAGCTCTGCGAACGGTCCAGGAGACCTCCCCCACACCAGTCTCAGGGAGAAACGACGGACCTGCAACGTTGTGAGAGGACGGCATGGCCAGCCACCCAGGAAAGTGGGATTCCTGCCTCGCTGGTCCCTTGACCCTCCTTTATGATCTCTGGGAGTTGGGCTCCCTTTCAAGAGAGCGTCATTAGTTGTAGGTGAGCTGACCCTACACTCATGGAGCCCCCGGATGTTAAAGAGCAAACTACTATGTGGTGTGGGGGGAGGTCAGATGTGCGTGGCTCTTTGTGGAGCGGCCCTGGTAGCGCATCGGTTAAAACACTCGACTGCTAACCTGAAGATCAGCGGTTCGACCCCACCAGCCTGCTCCATGGGGTAAAGATTTTGCTTCCGTATGGATTACAACTTTTGAAACCCTGTGGGGCAGCCCTCTGCTGGTCCTACAGGATCACTGAGCCATAATCCAGTTGATGGCAGAGTGCTGGGTTTTTTCTTCTTCTTAATCTTTATGGCTACTGTTCACCAGGGTTTTCCTCCATGGAGCTAGTGGTAGATTTGAACCCACGACCAGAAACTCGGGCGAGCAACTGACTGACACCACCCAGGCTCCTTTTCAGAGTATTAAAACTGCTCCAAGCGTCTGCTGTGGTGACTATTATAAAATCTGATGGGTATTTTTAACAAGGAGGAATGCGAATAAATAAAATTGAAAACCAGCTGTTTGGGCAGTGTTCCCGCAAATTGCTTTCAATAACCAAGTTGTTTGATTAACCAAAGCCACAAGAGGCATCCTTACCATGTGCCCCAAGAGGGCTCCATATTTAAATTCCCACACCGGGGCTTGTAACCTGAAGACTTCAATGACGTCATCAGCCTGCACAGCTGGGATCGAAGAGCCGGTCGGACAGAAAGCATACTGCGCTTGACAATAAGGATCTGATTCGGGACGGAAGGAAAAGCGCCTGATTGAGACAAAGAAACCATCAGCTTAGATTCTGACAGGAATTTGGGTCTTCTCCCACATCTGAGATTTTAATTTCAGGGTCTGTAACATTAAAAAATAGTTTTATTGAGATAGAATTAGCACACCCTACAACTCAATGGTTCAACCAGCTTAAAAAGGGTTGTACAGTCATCACTACAATCAGCCTTGGAACCTTTTCTCCCTTCTTGAACTCATTGCTGCTTACTCCCCATTTCCCCCAGGTAACTATTAATCCCATTATTGTTTTCAGGGACTTAAAACCCCAAAACAAAGACAAAAAGAACCCGTCAACAAAAAACCCAATAAAACTAGAGAAAAACCTACATCAAAAAGAAAGCATTAAGTATTTAAAAACCAGAATAAATTCCAAATGGGTCAAAAGAGAGATTTAATGACAAGGTATTACATTCCAGCCTAACTAGCTGCTAAAATCCACTTACAATGCCCTTTGTCTGATATGAAGGCTGTTCACATCCTCGACTATGGTCAGCAGGGATTCTCAGGACACTCAATCCACACAGGGACCCTGCAAATGGACCTTGGGCATCCACTCTCTCCTGGTAACATTTTCAAGGAAAACACCCAGAGTTCATACTACACTAAATGCAAATCGAGACATTTAATTAACCCTACAAACATATTCCAGTTAGGTCTTTAACAGTTAAAACCAAACCCACTGTCAGGGAGTCAATTCCATCTCCTGGTGACCCCAGGTGTTAGAGTGGAACTGCTGCTCCACAGGGATTCTTGGCTGTAAGCCTTGCGGAAACAAATGGCCAGGGCTTTTTTCCGCTGTGCTGCTGACTTTCAACCACTGACTTTGGGTTAGTGGTTGAGCCGAAGCCATTTGAACTGCCCAGAGCCTTTCCTTTTTATCTTCAGTAGCAAGTGACCAGCAGAAAGCATTTTGATAGATACATGTTTCCCTGTTCCCTGCTCTCACGGGGAGACATTTGAAGGCAGACCGCAAGTTCTCAAATATTCATAGATCCAGATCCGATAGTAGAAGACATACGAATGTCTACTAAGCAAGTGAGTATTTTTCAATGAGATTTAAATTTGCATACAATTTGTATATTACACAGAACATACCGAAATATAATAATGATTAAATGAAATATATTTTGTATTTTCTAAAGAATCGATCAATATTTTAAAAGAAGTATTATGTGTAGGATACTATACTAGGAAAAAAAGGAAACAAAAATTAAAATTCTCTTCGAGTTTGGGGTGAGGGGGAGGGAAAACACTGAATGAGCACCGCAATTAGGCTGCAGCGTGGTACCCTGGTGGTACAGTGCTTACACATCAGGCAACTATCCACAAGATCAGCAGTTTGAAACCACTAAATGCTCCCTGTAAAGAATTACAGTGTTGGAAACGCACAGGGCCAGTTCTGTCCCGTTCTATAGGGTCACAGGGAGTCAATCGACATGATGGCAGTGAGTGGTTTTGATTTTATACTGAGCATGTAGAAGAACACAGCTATCAGGACTGGGGGGCGGCTCGTGAACAGTCTGTGATGCGCAGTGAACGCAACCTTGCTTGCTGCAAGCATACAGGGATGAAGATCGGAGGCTGCAGCCTCAGTACACATTATAACTCAACATAAAGAAGACAAAATTCCTCACAACTGGACCAACAGACAACATCATGATAAATGGAGAGGAGATTGAAGGTGTCAGGGATTTTATTTCAGTTAGATCCACAATCACCACTCATGGAAGTGGCGCTGAAGAAATGGAAGGACGGGCTGCGTTGGACAAATCTGCCAAAGACCTCTTTAAATTGTTAGCAAAGATGTCCCCGTGAGGACTGAGGTGCGCTGGACACAAGCCACGTTATTTTTAAGTGCCTTGTGCACGTGAAGGCTAGCCAACGAATAAGGATTATCAGGAGAAGAAATGATGCATTTGAGAAGAATTGCTTTTGGCAAAGAATACATAAAGTACCTGGGGCTGCCAACAAACAAACATGTGATTTGGAGGAAGTCTGGCCAGAATGCTCCTCTAAAGTCAGGCTGGGGAGACTCTGTCTGATGTGCTTTGGACATGGTATCAGGAAAGAGCAGTCCTTGGAGAAGGACACCATGCTGGGTGAAGGAGACTCAACCCACTCACTGCCAGTCTGGGCAGACTGACAGTGACCCTACAGGACGGGGTAAAACTACCCGGGATTTTCTTTCCTTTTTCTTTTTTTAACCTGATACAAAACTCTTTATTGTTCCAGTGAATTTAAAAAAAAATCATTTTATTGGGGGCTCGTACAGTATGGTCACTATGAGGTAAAACCCGCGTGATGGCACCTAACAACAACAACAACAACAAACCAAGGGGCTGAGTGATGCAACACGGCTAAGCTACAGAAGTGTACAAAAGTTCTGTGTGGGTACAAAGAAAGGAGAAATCATTTTTGCCTGGTGAGAGAGGTGAATGGGTGGCCCAAAGGGGCCCTGGTGGTGTAGTGGTTAGACCTTGGGCTGTGATCTATATGGGCAGGAGATCAAAATCACCAGCAGCTCTGCGGGAGAACCACTGGGCTTTCTACTCCCCTAAACAACTGTAGTCCTCTGAAACCCACGGGGCTGCGATGAGTCAGCCTGTTTGGGGTTGGAGGAAGGTTAGGGCACAGCACTGGGGAAAACACCTTGGTGTTTTCAAAGTAGGACAAGCTGGTTGCAAACACAGGCACTGGAAACCTCCAAGTGGACACTTAAGACTAGATTCCTTGAATTCTGAATTCTGGCTTCCAGGCAGGGTAGTGAGAGGGGCGTGAGCAGGACCTAGTTATCTGGCCACAAAAGCAGTGTGAAGGGTGCCCTCTGGAGTCTGAAACTGGCAAAACGGGTGTGAGTTTCAGGGATCCAAGTTGCAAATCTGATTCCATAGAATTTGCTGGAAATCTTGCTTTATGATATGGAAGGGGCTGGAAAGAGAGACCAAATTATGGCTGAGTAATAGAGGAGATTCAAAACTTTGTGGAAAAATTGAATTAAAAGATGATGCAATTTTTCCATGTACTTTTTGGAAACTTTTGTTCAGGCCAGAAAAGAGGGTGGTCTGAACAGGCCAAAGTAATAGGGCTGGGCTGGGCTAATGGGCTATGATTCAGTTCAGCTCTGTAGAACCTTCTGCACTTGCCTCTAGGAAGAGAAAGGCAAATAAGATGCTATGAACCCTAGATCCCTATGCCCTGGTGGCTATGCATCACACAGGGTCACTCTGAATCAGAACTGACCTCTTGACGCTACTGTGGTACTTACGCAATCTGGTGTCAATTTGAGAGGATTAAGAGTGTAGGGATGGAGTCTAGTCTGCCAATCAGATCATAGCCAATGAGGCCTTTGCGTGGGCATGGCCTCCTGAGAATTCTGGGAAGTCCGGCATTCTTTCTTGGAGGCAGAAGGCACTATCTCTCTCTCTCTGCTGACTCCCTTGAAGACTCTCTACTGACAAGGCTGACTTCCTGCGAGACATCCCTGAGGAGAAGCCACATGTGGACCTACTCTGATGCAGCGCCGGGTGCTGGAGGAGCATTTCTACTTTTTAACACATGGGGGCGCCATGACTTGGGATCAACTCATCTGCAAATCAGTTTGATTTGCCTCCTGGTGTAAACATATGCATTAACTGTATATAGATTATTTTTCAGTTTTTTAAGTGACTGCTTCACTCACTCAAGACAACCAAACTTACTGCCAACGAGTTGATATTGACTCATAGTGCCCCTATAGGGCAGAGTAGGTTTCCGAGACAGTAACTCTTTACGGGAGTAGAAAGGCTCATCTTTCTCCCAAGGAGCAGGCTGATGGCTTCGAACTGCTGACCTTGCAGATAGTAGTCCAACATGTAACCATTATGGCACCAAGGCTCTTGCATAAATTATAGCATAATTTAGTCTAGGCCAAAGGTAGTTTTAAGAGTAATTTACGGGGAAACCTAATAGCTAAAGTGCTTTATATTTAAATGAGGAAAGTAGATACTTAATACTTGAAATGTTTACAGAAATATTATAAGGGTCAGACAGCCAGCACCTTACTCTCATCTTAAGTAACGGATTTATAACCAGTGACTTGATTTATTGGATATTTCATTTTTACCTTTTATGAATGCTTTATTAAGCTTTTAAGATTGTTTTTAAAATCAAACCAAAAAACCACCAGTGTCATTCCAAAGCTGCTCTGTTCCTTAGTACATCGAATAAAACCAGGAAGCGGTAGATGCCAATCAGTGAGTGATTTGACGATTAGTTGTCATTTACCCTATTGAATCCTTCCAACAAATGGGGCCCTAGTAACGTGGAGTTACACCCTCCACCCTTAAGAATTTCAGTGTAAAAATAGAGAAGTCCCAGACAAATGAGGACAGGTTGTCATAAAGTGCACCCAAGTCCTCATGATAACTGATAGCACACTGTGAAGTAGGCAATAGGGTCAGCAGTTAAAACCCACCAGTCGCTCCCGGAAAGGTGCCACAAGGACTCCTCCTTCCTGGCTGAGGCTGTGTGCATGGCGTGCGGGAGACGGGCACACTTTCCTGAGATCACACAACTCGGGTTGAAGGAGCCAGATGTTACTCCACCCAGCAGTCAGAAGGCGAGCTCTGCTCCCAACAGCTACCTTCTCCTGCCTGCAGTCCGCACGTGGGCAGCCCCCTCATCTTGAAAGGCCTGAGCGGATCCTAGTGGGTGCCCCTGCCCACACCTCACTCACTACCCACCCTTGAGTCAATTCCAACTCCCACCAACCTTAGAGCCCGGAGTTGAAGGGCTGCATATGGTTGGGTTGTACAACGTCACCGGAGCAAACCGCTTCATATTTCTCCCGCAGCGCCACTGGTGGCAGCACCCCCAGGCCAAGAGCCTTTGTCATTACTCCCAGTTTGGTATGTCACTGT